AGGGTTGCTCAGTGGTTGGACCATTGGCCCTCAGAATGAAGGGTCACGGGTTTGATTCCGGTCAAGGGCACATACCTCAGTTGCAGGCTCAACCCCTGCCGCAATTGGGGCGTGTGCAGGAGGCAACCAATAGATGTATCTCTCTCACATCAATGTTTCTCTCTGTGTGTCTCTCCCCCTCCCTCCCACTCTGTCTAAAAACCAATGAAAAGAATATCCTCCGGTGAAGATGAACAAAAAGTAAAAATAAAAATGCAAACTGGAAAATCATCAAGATGGTAATTCCAAGTTCTCACACGTTGAGGCTTCTTTTCAGGTCTCACAGAAGGAAGACCTCAATCGAAGTTCTTCATCTTCTACCAGCAACAAACCCAGCTCCAGGCTACAGTAACCAATCCTTCCCGTTTTCTAGAGAGAAACCCCTCCCCCTCATGCCATGAAAATCTTTCTGCCTCATTCCATTAATCGGATGCTAGTGATATTCTTAAACGTTCTTTTGTGGTTTTCTGCTTTTGCAGACTCCAGCAGAATCGCATGATGGAGAGAGAAAGATCGTATAGGTAGCTGGGTGTTTTCACCAAACTCCCAGCCAGCAGGACCCTCATGCAATTAGAGTGCCGATATACGCAGGACATCCCTGCTAAGAAGCATTTACCCTCCGACAGCCACTCAGTAAGGTGAAGCGCAGTATGTGACAGTCTGTGGCCACACAACTGTCCCACGTCAGAGTGAAAAAACCATACCCCTTCTCCTGTCACTGGGCTACTGTGTTCTAACACAATTTTCTTTTCATTAAAACCCTTACAGTCCAGGGGTCCTCAAACTATGGCCCGCGGGCCACATGCAAATACAAATATTGTATTTGTTCCCATTTTGTTTTTTTACTTCAAAATAAGATATGTGCAGTGTGCATAGGAATTTGTTCATAGTTTTTTTTTAACTATAGTCCGGCCCTCCAACAGTCTGAGGGACAGTGAACTGGCCCCCTGTTTAAAAAGTTTGAGGACCCTTGCCTTAGAATTATAGAGCTGGAAAGGCCTTCGAAGATAGTCTAGTCTAGTGGTCCCCAAACATCATGGCACACCACAATCTCCTGTAGAGCTCTGGAAAAATACAAAACCACGGGCAATGGCTCAGACCTCCAAACGAGATGCTTTGGGGGTGGGGCCCAGGAGCTTATATTTTTCAAAGTTCCCCAGACCAGGACCAGCAGTCAGGAAGCGCAGATCTACTCCAGCCCTTTAACTCTGAGGCAAGGAAAGTAAGTCTCAGAGAAGCTAGGTGACTTGCCCATGACAACACAGCGAGTCCACGTGGAGCCAGGTCTCCCGTCTCCTAGGTTATGACGGTTCCTACCACGGGCATCAGGTCCTTCCACTGATGCTGGGACAGATGAAGCAGAGAAAGGACAGCTTCCTCCGACTGTTACTAGTTCCTTGTTGTTGTTGTTGATAATCCTCACCTGAGGATATATTTTCCATTGATTTTTAGAGAGTAGATTGGAGGGAGGGAGAGAGAGAAACATCGATGTGAGAGAGACACATTGATTGGTTGCCTCCCACATGTGCCCACACGGGGGCAGGGCACCAGGGGACCCATTTCTTCTATTCCTACATGAACAGCCCACATAAAATCATCGTCTCAGCATTTACAAAGCTGTGCAGTGGTTTTTGTGACAGTCTATGTGGTTGTAGGACAAGGTATCACAATGCACTACACTACAAAGCCAATGCTAATTACAGTGCTGAACGTCACCCAAGGTTTTGCTGGCCTGCATATTTCATCAGAAATAGCTCCACTGTAGCAAAACAAGCTTTTCTACGATAAACTGTGAAAAGAAACCACCAGCGAGCAGATTCACCAAAGGACTTCGACCACAAGGACAGGCCCTGGCAGTCTACCTTTGCTGAGTTTCTGCTATAGAAACTTGTTGGGAGCCATTAGGAATTACATATACATCTTCAGCTCACAACACAATAGGTCTCTCGCCCCCCCAAGCCAGTTCCTGGGAACCAATTAAGCTTTATGGTTTAGCCGGAGTTAAAAGATAACCGACCCTCACCCTAAATACACAGCTGTTAAATCTCGGCTAACAAGCACACACCTCCGCTGATAAGCACACAGCCATCCGGAGCCTGCTAAATCTCTAGTGACAGGTTACCTCCCAAAGACCCCTTTACTCACCTCCTTCCTCTACCGCCCATAGACCCCTTTACCCACCCCCCTTCCTCTAGGACAATATAAATTCTACACGCTGTAAAAATAAAGTTGAGGCTTGATCAGAACACTGTCTTGCCTCCATTCTTTCGTGTCCCTTGTTTGTCTCATTCTCCCAGGGTGTCTCTGCGTTCCCCCGTTGTCGTCCCGCAGGTCGGGACAGGCAGGAGTGTCCCTGGGTGGCACACCCTGCGGGGCCACCCTACACTTCCCTGCTCGGCTGTGAGGGCAGGAGGCAGGGCCTGGAGGAAGGCCACCGCCTCCCACAAAAGCCCTGAGAACCACTCTCCCAGGACTGAGTGCTCCGGGGCCCGTGAGGCAGCTCCACAGGGCGGGGCGGGCGATGCAGGAACTCCCCTGGAGCTGGGGATTTCCACCACAGAGTCAGGTCTAGGCACCCGAAAGCAAAACTAAGTCGGGGGATGCCCTACCCGGGCCACATGCAAATACAAATATTGTATTTGTTCCCATTTTGTTTTTTTACTTCAAAATAAGATATGTGCAGTGTGCATAGGAATTTGTTCATAGTTTTTTTTTAACTATAGTCCGGCCCTCCAACAGTCTGAGGGACAGTGAACTGGCCCCCTGTTTAAAAAGTTTGAGGACCCTTGCCTTA